GATTGTACGACGACTTGAGAGCCATGCCTCTCGATCACGTTCCACAATATGATTCGGGCGTGGACATACTCATCTGCACTCCGGGTCGATTGGTCGAGCACATCGAGCACACAACAGGCTTTCTGCTGAACAGCGTGCGCTGGCTTGTCATCGACGAGGCTGACCAGCTTTTGAACCAAAACTTCCAGGGCTGGGCGACCGTGCTCATGGACGCCCTCCACGGTGAGACTCCGGTTGACTTCATGAACGCTCAAGAGCGGATACGAAAGCGGGAGCGCGACGCCAACTCCATCTGGTCCATGGCATTGCCTGCTCGAAGGCAACTTACCAAGGTTGTCCTTTCCGCGACAATGGAAAAGGATCTCACAAAGCTGGGCACTCTCAAGCTAAAGCGACCGAAGTTGGTAGTCGTACAAGACGAGACTACAGAACTTCAACCACTGGAGACAGAAGAGAATGTATTCGAGCTGCCGTCTACTTTGGAAGAGTTCGCAGTACACGTAGGCGATGGTACGAACAAACCATTACACTTGCTATACGTACTACTCAACTACGTTTACCCAGGCACACTAAAATTGTCGAAGCCATCTTCAGACTCCTCAGACTCTTCAGACTCGGATTCATCCTCAGACAGCGAATCTGAGTCCGACTCGGAAAGCCGCGCAACCATATCCCAGCAAACCGGCCGCGTCCTCATCTTCACCAAAAGCACAGAAAGTGCATCCCGCCTATCCCATCTCCTCAGCGCCCTCATGCCCCTCTTCGCCACCCACATCAAAACCATGACCCGCGCCCTAACCGCAGACGCCTCCCGCAAACTACTCAAATCCTTTAGCTCCGGCGCCACCAAAATTCTCATCGCCTCCGACGCCGCGTCCCGCGGTTTGGATATCCCCGATATTACCCACGTGATCAACTACGATCTTCCTACCAGTATTACGAGTTATGTTCACCGTGTGGGTAGAACAGCGCGTGCGGGCAAGCCGGGAGAGGCTTGGACGATGTTCACGAAGACGGAGGCGGCGTGGTTCTTGAAGCAGGTGGCTAAGGGGGATAGTATTAAGCGTGGCAATAAGAAGGTCAAACGCATGGAATGGAAGGAGAGTACTGTTACAGCGGATGGGAAGAAGAAGGCGTACCGCGCAGCGCTCAAGAAGCTAGAGAGTGCTGTCACCGGCAACGCCGACGCAGAATAGACTCGCAAGGAGAATGCGCCTTTGACTTGGACGCAGCCTCAGGCTCAGACGCAGACTCACACTCAGATTCAGATTTGGACTTAGACTTAGACTGGGGCCTGGTCTTGATATGCGGCGAACTGCATGTTGTTGACCGCAACAAGTTTGCTTCGAAGATAAGGCAGCCGTCAACTTTTCTTTCCTTTTCCAGATACCCAATCCACAGCTAGTATCGGAGAATTTCTGTGCCTGCGTGTACCAAGCTTCCTCAAGCAGCTTGGCTTTGCTTGATACCATCCTCTACGATCGACAGATGGCGTGGAGTGACATGCGCCAGCAACGACTTTGCATCGCAATGGGCAGGTGATAAGAAACTCTAAACCCCCGAGCATCGGCATAGCATTGTATCTACAACGTTGATAGGACATGAACAACATTCCGCATTCCAGCCTGGGGGAGCGCCAACTTGCGAAGTGTGGTGCTAAGCATTCTCCTCGGCATGCGTGACCAGGCTTGATGGTGCTTGATACCATCCTGCTCCGTGGTGTAGTGTGCTTGGAATGTTGCGGATCACGTCCTGAATTGGCAGGTTGGAAGCGCAAGCGGCCTTGTGATGCGCAATTGGCCGAGCTCGAGATTCGCGATTTTGTGGGCAAAAGTGCCCCATGCTGATGATTGGTCGTGGCATGTGTCTTTGCGACATGAAAGGGTTAGTTAGGCCAAGCGGGATGGTCCACTAGGGCCGGGCCTACACTCAACCTCTCCCATGTGCCGTCTGCAGACGCCCGCCCTTCAACCACACGACCCATCGCCACCTACCTAATGCAGTCCGCCGCCGCTCTTATCGCGTTGTTTGCTAAGTTACGCTGTTAATTAATCATGCGTTAACAGCTACCGATCGGCTGGACGACTCGGCGAGTTTCTGGAGGCTGGACATCGGGCGCAAGGGCAGATGTGACTGCGCTGTTCGCCGGCAGTTGGCCTGCTGATCGCGAGCTATCCATGGTACTACGGCACGTTTGCATGCGACTATCGATACCAAAGCATATGTCAACAGGCGAACGACAGCCATGCAGCCACGGTGTAGAAAGCATGGACACACGTTGACGACATTGACGTTATTGACGGATGTCCGTGTTTGCATGACCAACACACCTCAGGCCATCTCCAGGCCGCGTTTCAAACGGCTGTGGCTGTCCCGCTCCCTGCAGCATAATAGCGCCAAGCGTGAAAGTGGCATGCTTGGTAGCGCGCTTCGAAGCTTGACTGGCAGGCACACGCACTACACGACACTGGGGAAGCACTAACCCGCCACTTAGCGAACAAGGGACGCTATACTATGGCAACTTTCATTCCAGCAGTCACCAATAGCCATGAAGATTCGGTACAGTACTATTAACTTGCCACATTCTTCGAAACATACCTCGGTCCCGCCGTTGCTTTCGCCTGCGGAACCTCACAGCCTGCAATTACACGATGTAGTACTACGGACACGCCGCCACGCATTCGGTCCTACACTCGCGCAAGATGGTCACTTCAGTCGCAATATCCGATCTACAAGGGCCGTCGCCTACCCCAAGCGCCCTTCTACCAACACCCGGCTCCGCATGCACTTGCGTGACCGACGCCAAGTCTCAATGTAGCAGGTAAATGTATGAAACGCGGCGCCACCGCCTTGCGAGCATGATCGACCTGCCAAGATAGGACTCGTTACCATGAGTGGTTGCGGGATCTAATTTCAATGTTGATCGTTTACCCCACTATGATCCTACACTACGCCTACGATGCCAATAGAGGGCGGCGTAGACAGATCGAACAGGGTAACGAGCACATCATCGTCATGGACAAGACTTTATGCCGCGCCTTGTTGGCATTGCTTGGTATAAAGCCAAGGCATCTCCTCGCCTCTATTGCTTCTGTACCGGCTTCGTCTTCTCTTCAAGCCTCTCATACAGGCTTCAGCTACCACTGGCCTTTCACCCCTCGCTCTTCTGCCGTATCAGATAGTCCATCGTTATCATGCCTTCATTCGCCCACCTCACGGCGGCGCTCGCTCTTGCCAGCACTGTTGTTGCCACTCCTGTTCTGCGTATGTCAAACACTGCCTTGATGAAAAGCTCCAACCTGACACGTGATTGCAGACAAGGGAAACTCCTTCTCGGTCGAGCAAGTTCCTCGCTCTACCTACCTGAAGAACGGACCCGAGCAGAAGATCAAGGCTCTCCGCAAGCACGGCAAGGCTGTTCCTCAAAGCCTTGTTGAGGCTGCACAAAACAGGGCTAGCAACACTGTTGTTGCCGCTGCTGCTGCCAGTGGATCAGTGCCTGCCGCTCCCAACGACGCATATGACTCGGCATACCTGAGCCCGGTCACCATTGGCAGCACCACTGTCCACCTTGACTTCGATACCGGAAGCGCTGATCTGTAAGTCACGATGGGGCGAAATGCCTATCCCCATATAAGACCCACATCTAATGTAACCACAGGTGGGTCTTCTCGTCTCTCCAAGCCAGCTCCCAGACCGCCGGCCACGACTACTACAAGGTCGATGCCTCCAAGGTCAAGAGCGGCTACTCGTGGAAGATCTCCTACGGCGATGGCTCTGGTGCCTCCGGCAAGGTCTACGCCGACAAGGTCACCGTCGGTGGCGTAACAGCCACCTCTCAAGCCGTCGAGGCTGCCACCTCTGTCTCCGCGCAATTCTCGCAAGACGTCGACACGGACGGTCTGCTCGGCCTGGCCATGTCCTCCATCAACACAGTGCAACCCCAGCAGCAAAAGACCTTCTTCGACACCGTCAAGTCGCAGCTCGCGTCGCCCCTCTTCGCCGTCCAACTCAAGTACCACGCCGCCGGCACCTACGACTTCGGCTACATCGACAAGAGCAAGTACACCGGCCCCATCACCTACGTCGCCGCCGACGACTCTCAAGGTTTCTGGGGCTTCAGCGCCTCCGCCTACAGCGTCGGCACCACCACCACCACCAAGTCCGTCTCCGGTATCCTCGACACCGGCACAACCCTCATCTACACCGACCCCGCCATCGTCAAGGCCTACTACGCCAAGGTCTCCGGCGCAAAGAACGATGCTACTCAGGGCGGTTACATCTTCCCTTGCACTGCTACCCTCCCTGATTTCTCCATCACTGTTGGTGGTGTCAAGCAGACTGTTCCGGGTAAATACGTCAACTATGCTCCTCTTGATGATGGTACTGGTGCTTGCTTTGGTGGTATTCAGACTGATGACGGTATTGGCTTCAGCATCTTTGGTGACATCTTCCTTAAGAGCAAGTACATTGTTCATGAGATGGGCAGCTCTGGACCTAGACTGGGTTTCGCGCAGCAGGCTGGTGTTTAAGCCGTGGATGGCTTGGCTTGGCTTGGCTTGGCTAGGAAGGGGGTGGCGAGAGTGTGAGTTGGCGTGATACCATGAAGTCGCTGAGATATGCGGCGGTGCCTTTGTGGGCTAATAGCCTAGTGCTTTTATTTTCTGCATAGTAAATATTATCGTCTTGCTGTTTACAACTTTGATCTCGTGGGATTTCTCGTGATGACTGTAGATCTTGCATTTATTCTTTCATGTTTGGATGCAATGTGTCATGGTCGAGAGGCACGCACCGGATGAGAGCCATTCTCTCGTGTACAAGACTGGAATGAATTTCGCTAACTGAAGGCACAGCCTGCATGCGTTATAACGCGAGACTCTTCCGAGACTAGGGCCACTCAGTCACCCAGCCATGCTACCATGTCCAAAACTCCGTCGCTATGCATATACGCTCTATTGAAACACTTGGGCTCTTCCGCCTCATACCACATAAAACTCCACTCAAGACGTCGACTTCGTCAGCAAGAACCCGACATTACACTCCTGTTCCTTCAGCACATCAAGAAACACATCATCATCAATTGCCGCCGCCATATTATCCACAACCCCATCTCCTGCATCCTCCTCTCCGTCGCTCTTCTTCATTCCCTTGAGAATCTTAGTATCGATATGCCGATACTCCATCAACATCCTCAACTTGGGTTGTTTCGCCGCGCGTCTAGCCTTGATATTCGCTTCTTGCTCTTCGATGTTGACTTCGCTTGCTTTCGTGAGGGTGGGATAGGGGTCTTCGTCCGAATCTTCGATGTCGTCTTCGGGCGTTTCTGCTTCTTCTTCCTCAGCTTCGAGTTTGACTTCTGGTGAGCCCTTGCAGTCACACGTGCAGCCGAGGATGTCGTGGGTCTGGCAACCTTCACGCTCGTCGAGACGGAAGAGGTCGCGGAGTTCTTCTTGTGAGAAGGAGGAGGCGGAGGCTTTGTTGTCTACGACGGCGTTTGCGAGACCCATTTTCATGACTTGACGCTGGTAGATTTTCTCATCTAGTCCACCTTGGATGAGGAATCTGTATACTTTGCATGGCAGTTTCTGGCCGTCGCGGTGGATACGTGCCATAGCTTGCAAGTCGGTAGCGGGGTTCCAGTCGATATCAAAAAGCACGATGCGCGATGCACCGATCAGATTGAGGCCGACTCCTCCGGATTTCGCAGATAGTAGGAAGGCGAAAGAAGTGGTCTTCGGGGTCTTGTTGAATTTCTCCACAAGTGCTTGGCGTTTGTTGGCTGGCGTGCTGCCATCGAGACGGAGGTAGGTGTATGACAACGACACCAAAAGTCGCTCGATCATGTCCAGTGTGGTAGTGTAATTCGAAACAATGACGATCTTCTCCTCAGTGGTGGTATAGATCCGATGAACAAGGCTATCGAGCAGTCGCAGCTTCGCACTCGAAGCACTTGAGCTGAGAATCTTGGGCGGTATCAGTGGGAGAAGCGATTGCAGCATCTCCGATGGCGTATCGTCATTATCTTTCGATGATTTGAGTAGCGAAGGGCTGTTGCAGACCTTCTTCAGCACGTTGATGAGCTGTAGCGCAATATCTGTACTTCCCAACGCTATTCTGAACGTTGGTGAGCCCAGTATGGCGCGATAAGCCTCTGCTTGTCCTTTGGTCGGCCTGCAGAAGACAATGTGCTCAGTCTTCGGTGGGAGGTACTTTGCAAGCACTTCTGCTGTACGGCGAATCATGAATTGACTGGTAAGGGATACGAGCTCCTTCCATCGTGCCTCGCCCTTTTCGAGCTCTGCTTCACTTGCATCTGGCTGACGGCTGCGCACGATGGGCACTTCGAAAGAACGCTTGAAGGCTGATCGTTGCCCCAGTAGGCCAGGGTTGACGAAGTCAATGGCAGTGAAGAACTCGCCCAGATCGTTCTGCAGTGGCGTGCCCGATAAGATGATCCGCCGCTCGGTGTTGAGAGACTGGATCGCCTGCATGGCCTTGTTGTTAGCAGTCTTCAGCCTGTGGCCCTCATCTGCAATGACGATATCGACAGTCCCTTGCTTCATTTCCTCTTGCATAACACGCAGCATCTCGTATCCGACGATCATGATGTTGTAGGCTTTGCCCTTTGTGAAGTTGGCAATCTTCTTGTTCTTTGCGTCCAGCACATACACGCCAATCCGCTCGTTGCCCAGCCACTTCCGAAACTCACGCTTCCAGTTATCGACCAGGCCGGCGGGGCATACGATGAGGGCTTTCTTGATGACCGGCGAGGCATTGTGTATGGGGTTTTGCTTCATCAATGTCCAGAGCAGTGTGATGGTCTGCAGTGTTTTTCCCAGACCCATCTCGTCCGCCATGATCGCGCCTTCGCCCTCGCATCGCATGCCCATGACACATTCGTATAGAAACTGCACGCCCTCACGTTGATGTTCGCGCAGATGCTTGCTGAGAACCGGATCAACGACAACGTCGACTATCTGCTTTTCTTTCGGGCATGACGTCGGCCGTTTCATGACCAGGGCGTTCGGTGCGTTCGGATCGTGGCGTGGCTGAGGGATCGATGGGTTTCGTTGAGGCATGACGGTATTCGACAATAGAGGCGCCTTGAACTGCTGCTTGCGCTGAGCTGAGGGCTTGTAGTCTGGCACATCCACACCATCGTCACCAGTATCTTTTCTCTTGTTTGCTTTCGACTTGGCCGACGAAAGAGGCTTGTATCCTGGTTCCTCGCGCTTCGACTGATCTACAGGCGCAGCTGCAGCCGTCCCCAGGAACATGCGCCCAGCGAGGTAATCAGCCTTGTCAATGGACGCCTCCACTTCTAGCTCCTTTCCGCCGATCGATAGTGCCGAGCCTGGAAGCAGCGGTCGAGTACATGCTCCTTTCCCCAATTCTTTTCCCGTCTCGCTATCCGTAAGCGTCGCATAGCCGCCTGTGACGGCAAGTACGCCATCACCATCCCATGTCTTATTCTTCTTAGTCGTGTATTTTCGCCATAGGACCGTATAATAGTTTCCTTCGAGACCCGGGGGTAGGAATTGGGCTGGTGCGGGGGCGTTCAGCGTGTTGAGCGGCTGGCGACTGCCGGCGGAAAGCGCGTTGGACGAGACTCTAGGTTTCTTCTTCAATGGCTCGCCAGTCTCTGAGCGAGGGCGAGCGAGGGTAAGAGGCCGGAAAGGCTTCATGGGTTCGGGTGCTGGGGGAGCACATGCTGTGGGGTACGAAAGTGTATGGTGTTGGTGGTGGCAAGCGCGACGCGCCTTCCCAAGTTTGGAAAATTACGGCGCGCTATCACGTGATTACACAGCACTTATATTCCCCCGGTCATAGATATGCTAAGGCACCTTTGAACTTCTTCGATAGACGTAATATGTCTGTAAGGCGCACATGTCTCTTGATTTTGGAAACTTCCTCATGACGTCATTGTAGCGTGTGGCCAGCTCCTAGGTGATCGCGAAGTGCGAGTTTTATGTGTTGTACTATACAACATGTGCCATAGCCATAGAAAAGCCAATGACAAAGTACACAGTCGTCACAATCATGTTTTCTCTTCGCAATTTCTGAGAATAAGAATGTGCAGTAAGTCCAGCTTTCACGACGAAACTTTGGAGCCCGCATACGACTAACGCTTCTCAAGTTCCTCCCCGCAGCCCGCCCGGGCGGGAAAGAGCCAACGAAATAGCATATCGTTCTCAGAAAGCATACGTCCGCAGAACAACCCCAAAACTCCGTGTATTCGTGCTACTAAGATAAACAGACAGCTCATTTCAACAGCCATTCCATAGTTTCCATCTGTATTCCAGTGCGAATGTTGAAAGTATAATGCATAAAGCCAGGAAACGACCTGAAATCAATGTTGTGCTTATACCGGTTGGCAGCCAGAGCAGTCTCGCTCGCAGTTCCCAACGGTGTATCGAAGTCTTCAGCTCCATGATACCAGGTTATCGGATTTGCGTCAATGTCTTCCAGGTTGAATCTACATTGTGGTTCGTGCTGTTAGTGATTGTTTTTCTTGTATGCAGCTGAGAGAATTGGAACTAACCCCCACGGTCGCGGAGCAAGCGACTTGTCGTTATTGTAGCCCGAGAAATCCTGCCTTTGCATCTCTTCATAGTTTTTATTCAGAAGGTGAGTGTACTCGACATGGCTCTTGATATTCCTTTGGCGAAATCTTTGATAGTAGCCTCCTGGGTCACGCAGGGCGGGCATCCAATCCTTGAATTGTTCGGCGACGCCACTCAATCCTGATATTGCTTTCTTGGCTGCGAAATTTGGGTGACTAATGCCGCACATGATAGATGTCTTTTTGAGTCGGTGTTTAGGAAAATGGTAGGCTGCCGCTAGTGCATACGGCCCCCCTCCACCCACAGAAAGTATCTTGAACACTTGAACGCCGCGATGATTAAGCAGATGCTCGACGTCCCGTATGAAACCCAGCATTCCTCGGTCATGCAGTGAGGAATAGCCGTAGCCCGGACGATCAATGGCCATGACGCGGATGCCGTGATTTGCAGCAAACAGATGTACGTGCTTCCAGTCAAGTCGACTACCAGGAGTACCGTGAAACAGAACCCAGCATTGCCCCACCTCTGCCAGACGGCCGAGTTGTGCGTAACTCAACATGGCTCCTGAGGGCAAGGTGATCACCTGGCTATCGTAGGGCCAGATTAAAGCGGGTAGAAGCGTATTGTCAAATCCACGCTGAGTTGGATTACGCTGAGTTGAAGTTCGCATCGAGCTCAGCTTAGGGTACAAAGGTTTTTTGCTCGAAGCTGATGCGTATCGAAGCCGCGCCTGGCCTATCCGATGTATGTTGCATGCTGGACGGTACCAAGATCGTGTCGCCATTATCCGTCGAGCGCCAGCAACGGCGTTTCCAAACTTCGTCTCCATGGTGGTAGTCAGTCAGGTGACCGGTCCCGCGCACTACTCAATCAAAGAGTGTTTGACGAAAACCAAGAGCTGGCATATCGGGAGGTTTGCAATGAAAGTTTCGAGGTATATGTCGAGATAGACGGAATCCGGGTTGTTGTTGGGCGCGCCTGCATACGGAAGGAGCTGTGCCACATCTTGTCTAGTCCATATACGGCAATCCCTTACATCTCAACACATTAACCCACGGCAGTGCATTTTCCGTCTCCTACTACAACACTATATCGAACAGCTACATATGTCGTCTCGAAACCACGGAGTTGAGCTCTGCCTTAAGCTCAACTTCTGTCCACCAGCCACACTCTCAATCTCCAACCCCTCGGCATCACCTTTGAAGCTGATCGCCACTATCCACCAAACCTCCTCGGTCTTCCCAGATAGACCCGTTACTATCTTGACCAAATACTCATGTCTCGACACTACGCCTCGTGAGGATGCGTTTCGCAAGGGCGCTATGCACTCACCGGAACTCGCATTTCCTTCCACCCTCCAAGTAGATGGCTCTGCAAAAGTGCTCAACCTCCGGCCCACAAAGCGCATTACGTTCCACCGGATATCAGGCGACCCAGATCTTGCCAAACGCCCCGAGGATCCCGATACCCCTGGATTCACTTTCGTAACAATTCCTCCGGTGGGAAAAGGTTCTGTACAAGTTTCGTGGGAGCTCTCTGCTGAACGGCTTATGTCGAGTCTCGGCGACGACTCAACCTCGCTCCAAGAAAAGCTTGAACATTTTCTACGAGTCGGCGACACCTACCATGTCTGGCCCGGCAATCTTTCAATTCGATGGTGGTCATTTGGCTCCTTGGAAGACCCGGAAGGCTTGAAAGGCAAGAAAATCTCGCGCTTCAGCTTTTCTGACGATCTCGGGTTGGATAGGGAAAAGGGAGCAGATGAAAGCGAAGAGGTTGTTAGTAAGATGCGAGATCTTATTGATTTGCACAACGTGAACAGCTTGTCTTCGAGAAGCGCCGTGGAAGGAGAAGAGAAGCCGGATATCAAGAAGATGAGGGAGGAAGGGTGGGTGTTCGGAGAACCGCCAGGGCTGTTGAAGATGATCGCGCAAGACGAAGACAAAGTAGCGACTTTCAAGATCGTAGAGTAAGGCGGTTGGCTCGTTGGGCAAGTCTGTCAACAGTGCATTAAGACAATGTACCTAAGTCATGCATACTTCGTTCTCAATCACGCGCTGCTTGAGATCGATATCGATATTTCCATCTTCCTGTTTGTGATGAGGAATCCACAAAGTCAAGGGTTCGGGTCAATAGTGGGAAAAGCGAGTATTTGAATTGACTATATGTAATCATTACATATTGCGTAGAATCTGCAACGCACGACGCATGTGGTTCGCTTGTAAAGTGAAGTGGTTGTCGTTTGGATGTATGAAGAGCTCAGTGTTTTGTAGTCGATCGCGCATGTATCGCATGCCATCCGGAGGGTTTTGTACGTCCATGCCTCCAGCAATTATAACGATTCGGTTAGCATCTATGTCCCTAAGCTCGTATCCCCAATAGCGATGCTGCGCGCAATGATCATGGACATACGCTGCAGGAGTACCGTGTCTTGCATGCCCCTCGATGATTTTGTGCCCTTGTTCGGTCTTGCGTAACTCTTCGGTGGGCGGATTTATGGCCGCCAGGTTTTTCAAGAATTTCCTACTTACAAAGGAGACTCTGAGCTCCATAAGAAACGGGAAGATAGTGAGTAATCTCCATAGATACCTACTCATCGGCACGCCAGCTCTGTTCATCGGCACGCCAGTTTTTGGTGCATCAATTGGAGCTATGGGGGCCATGAGCAGGGTGCCCTGAACTTGCACTTTGGTGCAAATGTGAGTGATAGCAAGAGCATATGGGCCGCCACCCCTAGCACCAATGACTTTATATTGTTCATATCCAACATGATCCATCAACCTTTGAACATCATGGGCGTGTCTTGTTACCACGTAATTCTTGTCGATTGTAGATAAGCCATAACCTGGCCTTTCTGGACAAACGAGGGTGACGCCATTTTTCAACGCCCAATCGTGCCACATGCGATAGTCCAGACGCGAACCAGGAGTACCATGGAATGCGACAATGACGGCTGCTTTCGGATGTCTGCTGCCATATATCGCATACCCAAGTTGACGTCCGTCAGGGAGCGTGAAAGTCTGTGAGTCGCCAGGAGAGATGCAATAGGATGGAGAAATTTGAAGATTACCACGTCGGCATGGTCTTGAAGGAGCTGCCTGTCTTTGCTGAGATAGTGGCGGTTGTGACGGTGGTGACGGTTGTGGAAGGTTCGATAATTGAGAGTCGATTGGACGAGAGCGAAGGGAGGCAGTAGAGACCACTTTATGGTTACTCAGACCAACACGGGGGCCTATGGTGGTACCAGGCGGTCGTTTTGAAATGGAATCGTGAACTTTCTGGTTGGCCTGCGACGACTTTGGCAAGGCTGACAATAAGGATTTGGCTTTCGGACTTTTGCCGACGGTAGTAGGTTTTTGGGAAGGTGGAACTTGGCCCCTTGAGTTCGATGTAAATGATACCAAGCGGGTGCGACTGATGTTTATTACGGTATTGAACCGCAAGTTGCAATTGCGGGGCATTCCTCTGGATAGGATGCGATACACCGGCATGGTTCTACTTCAAATCCGGCACTAACGATACGACGGAGTGGAGAGATTGTTAGATTGAGATGGCAAGTATTGCTGTTTCGAGTAACAGAAAGTAGGGAGAGGCGCGAGGAAGATTTCCAAGGATGAGGTGAGAGCGAGGGTGGATACGTCGAATTGGAGGGGCGCCCGTGCCGCAATCCGCATTTATTACCCGATGGACGCCATCCGCGGAACTAAGGAGTCTGAGGTGCATTCACCTTATACAAGAAAAAAACTAAACAGGCCTGCGGACTACATTAAGACAAAGACCTGCAAAGTAGGTAGCCTAATGTTAACGTAGGCTCTACGGTGTTTAGTTTTTTATAGGTTGGCGTGCATTGTTAGGACAGAGTTAGCGATACGAGTAATACCAAGTGGTCTGGTTTGGTCATTGGAGTGTTTTCGTCACGCCCAAAGGGCCTGCTCAAACCTATGACATTTAGGTGCAGGTATGGCTGAATAGGGAGAGAGCTACGAATCATCACATTCAATCTTGAGCAGCGCTTGAGAACTCTCCTTCGTAATACTAAAAGATCATCAGCGTTGGATCCCAAACTTCAAACATATGTCCGGCGCCAGACTTTCAAGAAGGCCACACTTACCTCCGTCACG